GGTCCAGGGCTGCTGTTCAGCAGGGACCATCTGTGTGACCTTGTCTGATGCTTTAGCCTAGTGACCATTCTTACTGTCCATTGCCCATTCTCTAAGGTTGTTAAATAGTTTTACTTTCACCCTCTGTAGGTCCTAAACCTAGAGTTTCTTGGTGCCAACCTCCCCTGTCAATGAAAAGAAAAAAATTAAGAGTAGCATTAGCCAGTTTTAATGACAAAGGTGGGGAAAGGGCTTATCCAAGTGGGAGGTGAGGACAACACGAAAAGATATTTTAAAAAACAATGGGTACATTGGGGCTGGAGTCGTGGCTCAGCGGTAGAGCGCTTGCTTCGCACCTGCGTGCGATGCCCTGGGTTCAATCCTCAGCACCACATAAAATAAATAAACAAGATAAAAGTATAAAAAAAATTTTAAAAAGGAAAAAAAAAAAACAATGGGTATATACCTTCCAAGTTTGGTGAAAACTATAAACACACAGACCTGAGAAACTCAACAAACACTGAACAGGAGAAAGGTAAAGAAAATCCCACTCAGACACAGATAACTAATTTTTGAAAACCATGAATAAAGAGAGAAAAAAAATTTTTAAATGAACTTTAAAACAGCCAGAGAAGCAGGTGGGTGGTACATGCCTTTAATCCCAGCAACTCAGAAGACTAAGGCAAGAGGATCCCAAGTTTGAAGCCAGCCTCATCAATTTAGCGAGGCCCTGAGCAACTTAAGCAAGAAGCTGTCCCAAAATTTAAAAAGATAAAGAAATAGATTTTAAAATGGGCTGAGGATATAGCTCAATGGTAAAGCACTTCTGGATTCAATCCTCAGGATCAAAATTTTAAAAAGCTCATCTCCTTGAGACCAAAGGTATAACCAGAAATAATAGAAGCCAAGAGATAATGGAATGACATCTTTGAAATGCTGAAAGACACCTGTCAGTCTAGAATTCTATATTTAATTTTAAAATAGCCTTCAAAAATGAGACCAAGTTAAAACTTCCTTAGGAAAAAAAAAAACGAACCTGAAAGAACTCATCACCAGCAAAATTGCTCTACACAAGAAACGTAAAAGAATATCTTCCAGGAAAAGGAAAATAACACCAGATGAAAATTTAAATCGCCACACTAAAATAAAGGGCACCAGAAACAGTGGGACGTGTTTCTTATTTTGTAATTTTAAAAACTATTTAAACAAAGACATTGTGCAACTTAGAACATACGTAAAGGCAAAATGTACCACGTCACTAGTAAAAAGAATGAAGAAGGAAAGAAAAATCATTACTGAGAGCTTCTTTCATGGAAAATGAAACACAAGTATTCTTTTAAGATGACTTTGATAATTTTAAAATGCATATTGTAAATCCCAGAGTTAAAAAAAACTCAGAAAATGAAAGCAGTTATATCTAGTAAACTAATGCTGCAGATTAAATTGATTTTTCTTTTTTTTTAATGTCAGGAGTTGGTTGAATCCAGGCCTCACTCATGTGCTCCACCACTGAGCTACACCCCCCACCCTTAATGAATACCAGAGGAAGCAGAGAGAGAGGAGAAAGGAACAAAGAGCCAAGGAAACAACAGCGAGATGACATATTTAAATCCAACCAGAGAGATAATTATATTAACTGTAAACTAAACCCTCCAATTAAAAAAACTGAGACTGTCAAGCAGGATCAAAATGAAGGGTCTAACAATATCCTGTCTATAAGAAAGTCCCTTTTAGATTCAGATAAGTTAAAATTAAAGTAAGGGGAAGTAATTTGCTAAAACTGAGCCCAAGAAAGCTGATTGGCCCTCAGGGTGAGAATCAGAGACATTTTATACCAATAGAGACAACAATCCTAATGGCGTGTGCACCTAATGATGCAGCTTTCAACGGCCTACTTCAAAAAAGAAAGGATGAATAGGCAAACATAACTGGAGGCTTCCAAACTTCTCTTGCAGTAATTGTAGACACAGAATCAGTTACAACATAGAAGACTGATAATGCTATCTACCAATTTTACTTGGTTGAAATTTATTGAACACTCAACCCAATGAAAGAGAATATGGTTAAAAAAAAAAATCGATTAAACTGAAAGCTAATTCCTTGGGGGGAAAATAATAAAAGTGGTATTCTGCTAGCCACATTGGTTAGAATGAGAGAAACAAAACTGTCAATAATAGGAACAAGAGCGCAAATAAATTATTAATATCAGAAATGAAAGAGGGCTGTACTACCAACTTAACAGTCATTAAGTATAATAAGAAGGGGCTGGGGTTGTAGCTCAATGGTAGAGCACTTGCCTAGCATGTGTGAGGCACTGGATTCAATTCTCAGTACCACATAAAAATAAATAAATAAAGATATTTTGTCCATTTACAATTAAAAAAATAAGAAAATATTTTATTATTTTTATTATCTATTTTTTGCCAATAAATTCAATAACTTGAATGAAATAGACAAGTGATTGGAAAGAAACAAATTACCAAAACTAAATCAGGAAGAAATAGCAAACCTGAAAATTCCATTGTCTGTGAAAGAAGAAAAATTTGTAGTTAAAACCTGACAAAGAAAATCTCCACACCTGGATAGCTTTGCTGACAAATTGTATAAAAAAAATTCAAGGAAAAAATAAACACAACACAAATGTTTATCAAGGAGAAAACACTTCGCAACTCATTTTATGAGACCAACATCCCCAATACCTATGTCAGACAAACACATTACAAGAAAGTTTTATTACAGAGTCCTTCATGATATAAATGTAAAAACCTGAAAACAAAATTTTAACAAATCAAATCCAGCATAAATAAAAAGGGTAATATATCATGGATCAAGTGGTTGAATATTTAATATTTGACATTAGCTACTCTTTTTCATCCTATTAATAGAGAAGCCAAGGAACCATACAGGTTTTCTGCCCAATAGATGGCAGAAAAACCATTTGAGTTAACACCAGTGTCTTATGATATTAAACATACATGCCACAACATTAAGCATATGCACCACATGACTTATCTATTCCACTCCTAAGTATTACACAAGAGAAATGAAAACATGTCTGCACAAAGTCTTGTATGCAAAGTTCACTATGCTGTATTCAGACTAAACAAGAACTGGGGACCATCCAAATGTTCGTTAGCAGGGGAATGGATAACAGTTGTAGTATAATCCATAAAACTGAAAACTACCCAGTTTTATGGATATACTACAACTATGTGGCCTATGGTACATGCCAACAACATAGATGAATCTCAATATTTTTATGCAGAGTATAAAGGAACCACATATATAAGACTACATAGAATGTGACTTCATTAACAGGAAAGTATAAAATCATGGGTTCAGTCCCCAGCACAGAAGGAAGAAAATCTACTGTGACAGAAATCCCACGAACGAATACCCAGGACTAGGAAGATAACTAAGGGCACAGGGAACCTTTTAGGATGCTGCAAATATTCTGTATACTGATTATATCACAATTACATTGCATGATGATTTAAGATGTATAAATAAGTCAAAAATCATCAAATGTCTATGTAAACGGGTACATTTAAATATATAAATCACACCTCAAAATAAATTTTCTTTTTCTTTTTCTTTTTTTTAAAACAAAAGTGTGTTCATAGAGGATTCACTGGAAAGAGGAAATTGCCCTTGGAGGGTCTTACAGTTGTGGTCTGAGCTTGTGCTGGACCACGGAACCTTCTGACGTCACTGATGAGGTCAGAGAAGTCTGTCTGCTGGGCTCTCGTGACAGTTTGAATCTTCAACAGTCATACCGGTGCCCGGGGCCCCGGAGCAGCACCTCTGACGTGGCCAGTTCAGAGAATGTGAGTGAGTTGGCTTTAGGGCTTTTGAGAGCTGATTTATCTTTTTATACTTGGGTGTTTCTCACCAGTCCCCAGAGAAAGCAGGACCTCCTGGTGACATGGTCAAGGGAACCAGGTGTCCAGCCGCTTTTCAAGGAACCCCCAGGGCTGAAGAGGAGTGACAGGAGAGAACCCGGGTAAGAGGACATTAGGGAGAAGAGCAGTGAGTCTGGTCTGGAGGCACAAAGCTGGCCAGACAGGCCCGAGTCTCTCCTAGGGCAAAATTAGGAGAGAACCAGGACTCACGGTGGGGAAAAGGGCCGGGGGTCAGGGGAGGCTTGTGTTTATGATGTCCTTCCTAGGGGTCCCAAATGGTCTGAGGCAGACACACCCGAGGTGACCCCATCACTACCTTCTAAGAGCGGCCCTCTCATCGCTGCCCAGGCCCAGGCCCACCACACCTCTTGCCCGGATTGCTCTATTCCACACCCTGGCTTTTTCCTATATGGGCCCATTTTCCAATACTTAATGGTCACCTATGGCCTTTTCAGTCCAGAAAGAGGGCCTTAGAACCGAGTTCACCACCTCCCCCAGCTTTTACTAAGAAGGAAAGTAGAGCCCAGGAGGTGAAATGTGAATTATGAAATAGAGAACTTTAGATTCCAACAGACCGGAGTTCAAATTCCACTCTCCCCTTGACTAACTGGACCAAAGTGGACAAATCCCTTAAGCTCTTTGAACCTTCATTGCCTCATCTGTAAAATAGGTCCAGTGACCCCTAGGACATGGGGCTGAGCCAAGGATTTCCTAAGACGGTTCTACCGCACAGTGGCATGTGGAGAATGGCCTTGAGGGGTCGGGGGCTGTTGTGGAGAATGGCCTTGAGGGATAGGGGGCTGTGTCCCGTCCTGGCATGAACACATCTCATTGCCTTCTTTGGTCTTTGCATTGGAGTGAATGAACTTCGCTGCTCATTCTGGTCTCCGCTGCTCATGAGGGCCATTTCTGCTTTTCTCTTCTTTGAGTTAACTACATGAAATTGAGCAGCTGATGGTAGTTTTCTGGCCCAACCAATACCCTTTCCTAGCTTTATAACTGATGGTGGGGTGGTGGGATTCATAACAATGGCCACAGTAGAATGCTTCTTTTAATTTGCATATGAGGTGTCCCCCCAAAGTTCCCGTGTTAATACAGGAATGTTCAGAGGCGAAATGATTAGGTGACAGCGCTCACAGTCTAATCAGTCCATCTGGTTTGAATGGACTGGCTGGGTGGTAACTGCAGGCAGTGGGACTTGGCTGGAGTTAGTGGGTCCCTGGGGCTGTGCCCTGGAAGAGTTCATCTCCACCCCGCTTCTCTGCCTCCCGGCGGCCATCAGCAGAGCAGCCTTCCTCCACGACGTGCTGCCTCACCTTGGGTATTTTGGTCACAGTGACAAAAAGCTGACTTCTTCAATACTGTTGACTTCCCATCCCACCCTCTTTAGAGGTGGCAGAGGGCAGGGAACGTAACAGGGCAGCAGACTGCCACGGCCTCTAAGTCCCCTCAGAGAAGCTACTAGAGCAGTGACGGCCACCATGTCCCAACCTGGAATGTTCTTCCTGAACAGACCTATGGCCTGGGTACGCAGGAGGGGCAAGCGGGTGAGGTTTATCTTCACAGGCCTCATCCGCGCCTGGAGGAGAAAGTTCAGACAGGAACACTGCAAAACGCTTTGAATTCCAGGCCCAAGGCCTCCCTTCATCCAGGACCCCCATTCTTCCCCACGTGATCTTAGTCACTAGTCCTTCGACCTCCAACTCCGTGCAACCCCTCCCTCTCCAGGGGCGGGACTCTTGAGCCACACGGGGCTCAAACTCTGATCACTATCCACCTCATCTGGATTTGGTTTTGCCCACCAAGATGTCACCAGCAAAAAGAAGCAACTCAAAACTGGGTGGATCAGAAAGGACCCTCAGGCCGTGTGTCTTCAGTCACCACCCTTGGGTCAGATAGAATCTGCTAGAAGCAGTCTTCTTGGCTCCCTTCACGTCTGTGCCGCACAGTGGCATATACTGTGCTACAGTCAGATTTTCATGGCCCAGAACTGAGCACCCTAAGATTTCCGACCCCTGGAAACCCCAGGAGACACCCTTCCCATCATCAGTTACACAGGAGCCCATGAACCCAACTCTTTCCAAACAGGAGCCTGGTTTCTTTAGAAACGACCTGCCCCACACACCTGCAGCTCCAAGGGCTTCCTTAGCAATCTGGAAAGTTCCTGGCAGCTGTACCTTGACCTACATGTGTAGATTCTCAGGATCGTGCTAGCGATGTTTCACATTTAGGAACCTGAGTAGGCTTCTGAGAATAGAAGCTCACCTTCTGTTGAGCACTTCTACCTGTGGGAAGAAGGCCAAGGGGTTGGTGCCATTCACCCAGTCTAGATAAAAGGACACTGAGCTTATCTGAGCTCATGGTGCTATAAAGTCAAGGAGCCAATACCTTCTGTCTTACTCTAGAGCCCAAACTCTTGGACCCAGGGCTCTGGCACTGTGCTGTTCAATATGGCAGCCAATAGCCACCATGGTAGCCCTTTACGTTTAAGTTTAGATGAATTAAAATTAAGTAAAATTTAAAATCTACTTCCTAAGTTGTAATAGTCACCTCCTAAGAACTCAATAGCCACAGTAGCTAGTGGCCATCATAACAGAGAGTTCAAGTAACTTAATATTTCCACTCTCAAGGCAAGTTCTCTTGGACAGCCTTGAAGTCTGAATCTTCTTATTCAGACACTTGGACCAGGAGCTGAGCCACTGCCTCCCCTCACCAACTCCTGGCTTCTCAACCCGATCTCTAAAATAGCCCCGTGTACTTCTGTTGAGCGTTGTGACCCTGACTCGTCTTTAATTTCTTACCCCCAGCTCTTTTCAGTCTCTGGAAGTGCCCAGCACCCTGGCCACCGAGACCCAGGGCAAGAATGAGACCTGAGCGCTAAGAACGCGATCGTGATGGACTAGGGCTTCCCTGTGCACACGCTGGCTGTCTAGCAGAACTGTCATGAGGGAGGTCCCAGACCACGGCCTCCCCCAAGTGGACCTTCAGGCTTCCTCGACCTCCGCCTGGACATCACTGATGGTTCACAGGAATCACAGTGCCCTCCTGGGTCCCCACCTGTGTTATGGTCACTGGTCCCTGGAAACAAGGCTTCTAGTAGCTTCTGGGGTTTCAGAGACCCAGGAAGGTCAAGCGTCCCGAAGGCCCTGCATTCCTCTTGTCTTCTCTACACTCAGAGCTTACGTCTGGAAAAGAACCCCCTCTCTCATCAGTTTCCGTGAGGCTCCTTTTTGCAGATAAACTTTGCTGAAGAAATTTGCCCAGCACAGGGCCTTGTGGTCCTCCATGTAGTAGGCATTTAAGCTGGACCGGCTCGGCCTCGGGGCCGCACTTCCCAAGACTGAATCTCCAGCCCTCAGCTTCCTGGGCTACCTGCTGCTGCTGCCTGTCTCTGCCACAGCAGCCCCAGCCCCATAGGGTCAGGTTCATTTGTGGTCCAAACACAGCTTCCGGGTACTGCTGTCTTTTCCTGCTGGCGGTGGATCCTGCTCAGCTTCATCTGAGACTCCCTACCCAGGGGCACAGGAGCGGATAGTCTTTCCGCTTCCTGGACACTTTTGTTGACAGCTGACCCACGACGAAGTGAAAGTCAAGATGTCACCACTCTTCCTATTGACTGTGCCACCTAGGGAACCTAACCATTGTCTTCTCTTTCCTTTAAGTAGAGTCTCTAGAAGAGAAATGGGGTCCTTTCCTCTAGGTTGGCCTCCTCCATGCCAGACTTGGTGTCAGACAGGACGTTTCCCATGGACACATCCTCCCTCCAAAAAGCCCCTCAAGGGGGTCCCATTCCATGTGGCTCTAGTCCTTTGCCCATCAGCTGGGACACTGGTACCTGCTTTACCATCAGCCACTGCAAACAGTAGGCACTAAGGACCCTCTTGCTGTTTGTAACACACAGAAAACAGTCCAACAGTTTGTGGGAAGAAGAGCAGAATGAAGAAATATGGTGAAAGAGAGGTAAAATGGGGAGAAAAGGTATTTGCAAAAAGTTTGCCGGAGACTTATGGTTACTCTGTATTCATAGCTAGACTATTAGTGTAAAAAAAAAAAAAGTGTCCATACAGATAAGGAAAATTTCCAAGAAAACTTTGGAAAACAGGCAGAATTTAATAAAATTTTAAAAAGGCAATTCTCACACAGAGGCACACACAAGAAAATTGAAATGTCTAAAATAGACATGTTCAATTTCTAAAATGACCAAGAAAACACAATTTGAGTGACTGTGAAGAGCCAATTCACCCTGGTAGATTGCAACCATTAAAACAGGTGATCATTTCCAGTGCCCCAAGAGTGTTTTGTCAAGAATTGAAGGGTCTGGAAACGTCACCTCACTTGCACAATTTGGTACTTTATATCTGTGGATATTGCAGGAACAGGAGGCACCTGTTTGGGGGGGAAAGAGATTTTTATTAAAGATACAAACAGATCAATAGCCACAGGAACACTTCAGAGCTGGCTGCTCACATCTAGACCCGTGGCCAGTTCTCTTGAATGTGACAGGTTCACTCCGCAGCTGGGATGCAGAAAAAATTTTTCCCATTTGTATACAAGAGAGAGGCAGCTGTCCCCTGCCTCTGAAAAGGAAGGAGACAAACCTTTGCTCCTTGGAGAAGGGATGAGAAGGACCCTGGATTCTCCCCCTAACCTTTTGGAATGTAAAAACATCTCTCCTAAGGCCAGCAAAGCCCCAGTTGTCTCGGGCTTTTACAACAAGAGAAGTCTCCAGGGACTGGCCTGCATCCCTTCAAGTGCAAATGCCTAGGGATGAAGCACTGCAGTGTCCTTGGCATTTGGGGAGATGAACGTGGAGTCCTAGTCCAGGCTAAGTGAGAAGTTTTACTACCCTGTGGGCCAGAGGAATTAAAAATGGCTATAGTCTAGAACTCAATGTGCTTAGGGGAAGCGAAAGCAAACATTCTTGGTCTTTTCTGCCTTATACATTTCTGCTTCAGGAAGCTAGGGCGCTCTGGAAGAGCCCCGGGAAAAGCCTGCGGAGGTGGTCTGCCCCACAGGGCTGCAGAGAGGAGAGGGCACCTGGGGCTTTGTGGTTAGGAATGTGCATTGCTATAGCTCATTGCCAAGAGAAATCTAGCCAGACCAATTCTGAGTACACCTGCTTTGCCTCCAGAGAGTACATCTTATGGAATGTAATAAATAAAAATGAAACGGGAGGTCAAGAAAATAGACTCTTAAGAATTCAGAGAGCAAGATTGATAGAAATTTTTTAATTTCTATCTATCAGTAAGAAATATAGTATAAATTGCTGAAATAGATAGACCATGAAGTATTATGCTAGATTTTTTAAATGATCAATCTATAGCTTGACCTTGAAGATTTCCACTATATGCTTAAGTGGGAAAGATAGAATGCAAGATGTTTATACATATATTTAATATACATATGGTACAGTACATGATGGGGATTATATCTATTCCATTTTGTAAAATAATGAAAAAACTCACATGTACATATGTCATGGAGCAGAGAAATTTAAAAATGGTTATAGATCTAACCCTCATAGTGTATAAAAGTAAAACATGGTTTTCACGATCACAAAGCATGGAGAAAGACACGGGAGACAGACAATATTAGTTGTTCTTGGAAGAGTGAAAATGAGGAAGGAATAGGGAAGGGAGGGTTTAAATGCAGCAAAAAGAAAAATATGCAAAGCTCAATATCAATGGAAAATATAGAAACCAAACTTCCATGATATTACATGGGTATGTACAGATAGAGGCTGCTCGTGGACAAGGGTTAGGATGTGATAGTAACAAATAGAAATATTTCAGTTGGGGACTCATTCGTTCACTCAGCAAATATATTGGGTGTCTACTCTGTGCCAGGCACTGTACCCAACCCTGAGGATATTGTACAAGGCGAAATCCCTGACCTCAGGGAGTTTACTCACTAGTGGGGGAGATAAATGATAAATTAGGACCAAACATAAGTGAATCAGAAATTGTCAGGTAGTAATAAGTGCTATGATGAAAAATTAAACAGGAGAGGGACTAGATGGCCCTGCTGTTTTAAACTGGGTGGTAAGGGCAAGCCTGTCTCTCTAGAGAGGCAACACGTGGGTAGAGACAAGGATAAAATTGGAGGGCTACTGCATGCTTTCTGTTCCCCATGGGAGCATCATAGGGCTCTTGGCCCCTCACTTCATTTATTTGGGATTTGTAGAGCCTGAAGCCACACACAGCACTTTCTTTGGGGTTTAACTAGCAGAGTAGAGATGGCATCCCCACATCCCTCCTGGAAATCTTCACCATTTACCACTTCACACTTAAAAGGAACTTCTTCTGAAGGCAGCAAGAAACAGGCTTTCCTATTTACTAGCTGCATGACCTTGAGCAAGTTATTGAACCTCTCCCTGACATTATCAATAAAACCGGATAATACTGTCTACCGCAGGAAAATAATAAATTTTAAAGACTTAACCAGCACCTGGTACATAATAAGAGCTAAAATATATATAGCTCTAATTGTTGTTTTAGTACTTGTTAACACTATCATTGCTGTTGCTATTGCTACTAACTAAAGGGTCAGCCTTATCCTGTATGGACTCACAATAAACTTCCAACTTTACTGAGGTATAATGGACAAAAATTTTCCATATGGGGGAAATGGAGATTGCAATCAAATTTCTTGCATGTATGATTCTGTCAAAATGAACCCAAATGCTAAAAATAACTGTAATGCTTTAATAAAAAAAAATTGTCCATACTTAAGGTATACAATGTGATGTTTTGATATGTATACATTATGAGATGACGACAATCAAGCTAATTAAATCTGTCACCTTATGTAGTTGCATGTGTGTATGTGTGAATCCTTAAGATTTCCTCTCTTGGCAAATGTCAAGCATGCATTATTACTAGCTGTAGTCACTGTCACGATACTATACATTAGGTCTCCAGAACTTATAACTCAAAAGTTTGAAAACTTTAACCAACATCTTCCCATCTCTGTCACACTTTGATCTATGATAACCATCCTCCTACTGTTTCTGTGAGTTCAAGGTTTTTTTTAGGACACAAAAGTAAAATCATACAGTACTTATCTTTCTGTGCCTAGCTTATTTCACTTACATAATGTCCTTCATGTTTATCCGTATGGATGTAAATTGCAGGATTTTCCTCTATTTTTAAGGCTGAATATTATTCTGTTACAATTTATTTTTTTATATCTTTTTTTTTTATTTGTATGTGGTGCTGAGAATCGAACCAAGTGCCTCACATGTGGAAGGCAAGCGCTCTGCCACTGAGCTACAGCCCCAGCCCCATCTGTTACAATTTGTCACATTGTATTTATCCATCAATGCTGAATGGAACAAGGCACTGCAGATAACCCTTTGAGACAATGATTTATTTTCCTTTGGATATATATACCCAGAAGTGGAATCAAAAGATAATATAGGAGTTCTACTTTTAATGTATAAGAGTTCCCTTTTCTCCATATCCTTGACTACACTTATCTTTTTTTTTTTTTTTATAATAGCCCTCTCTCTGTTTTTGAGATTTTTATCACTATGACAAAATATCCAAGGCAGGCTACTTTATCAAGAAAAGGGTTTTATTT